TATCGTCATCTCTCCTTCACTTTCCCCAGAATCCCAATTTCTTAAGCTTTTTTCTCAAAAACCCAACCTCTTTGCTCCTTGCGGCTTCTCCTCGCTTCGGCGCTTTCTTTCACCAAATAAAAAAAAACTGGCGTTATTGGTTCCCTTCGTCTCGTCCCCTTGTTCGTTCTCCAGCTCCGTGCACTGGTGAGCCTAGGGAAACTCACAACACCATGGACGTCGCTGAAGCTCCATGGCGTCGAATTCCTCAACTTTCCGTTTCTTCACGCGCCTCCTGGCTCATTACTCCCGGAATTCCTGTTTCTTCGTAAGTTATTTCACTGGGGCATTTTAACATACACTTTGTCTGTGACCTCTTCTTCTCAATTGCTAATCTGCTCTACTCAAAAATCGAACCTTTTTATTTATTTATGAATCTAATGTGGATATGGGTTTCTCTATCACACGTATTGATCTTTATAAGCTCTGCTCTGGAGTTTTTTGAGCTTGAACTGAGAGTTTCAGTCAATTTCTAGTTTCCGGAAAGATGTCGAATTTCTGTTGAAATCTCTGTCTTCCAACAGATGCATGTTCTCTCATATCGAGCGTGGAAAGAGGTTTAGGGTCATATTGTGCTTTGGGGTCTCTCGTTTTCGTGCAAGGTCTGCTATTCTAAGCGCACAACAAGGTAAATTGGGAGGGAGATTCACTTGTGTAAAGCCTCAGACTTTCAAAATTTCTATGTTTTATAACATTTTTTTGTTTTTTTTGTTTGTATTCTGCATTCTCAGAGCAGCCAGCTAGGCTTCGCAAAGGACTCTGCGAGGTTGTTTGGATCGTGGAAGCTGACCTGGCATCCAATGAACATCTCTACGTTACTGGAGATCCTACGGCTTTAGGTGGCTGGGATCCAGACTGCGCGGTTTCAATGTATCCTACTGGGAATGATAATGAATGGGAAGCTAAAGTCAAGGTAATGGCAATCCAAAGCTCTTTTCTTGGAAGCGAGCTCATGAGTCTTGTTTGCATATAACTTAATATACTTGGCAGATTGCTTCTGGTATGAATTTCAGGTATAACTATTTTATAAAACCTGGATACGAGTCTTCATTTGACGTCATCTGGAGACCAGGGCCACAGTTCTCGTTGTCAGTACCTTCTTCTGCGAATCGAGAAGGAAAAGTTGTTATAAGGGATTCATGGATGAGTGTTTCCTCTGAATCACAAGAATCCTTTGTATGGGGTTCTTGGATCAATGATGGTTACCTCTTACCAAATTCTGTGACTTCAGGTCATCATAGCGAAGGTAACATCTCCGTGATTCCTTCTCTTTTAAGTCTCTTTTCGTTCTTTTGCAAAATGGTTTTAAAACTCAAATGCTTCCAGTGGTTTGGCAGATGATAGTGCTACAGAAGTCTCAAGAGCACTTTTGAATGATAAACAGTCAGAAGATGAATCTTTCTTCTTTGATGAGATTGAGAATGCAGCCTTTTCGTCAGAGAGCTCGAAGTTCAGTGTGTTATTCTCTGACAATTATCAGCCTGTTGAGGAACCGTGGTTTCTTCAGGCAAGGATTACAGAAACCGATAGCAAACAAGTTGTTGAAAGTTGTGACGAAACTGAAAACAACTTGGATACTGATGAGGAAGATCACCAGCTGACTGAGACTCTCTTACCTGACGATGAATTTTTCCAACCAGAATCTGTTTCCACTACGATACTGATCAACTCTTCTGTATGTACCGTGCAAAGGATTGCTGTCATGGATGGTGAGAAGCTGGTGGAGTTATTGTTGGAACCAGTTAAGACGAACGTGCAGTGTGACAGTGTTTACCTGGGCGTAGTCACTAAGTTTGTGCCCCATATGGGTGGTGCGTTTGTGAATATCGGAAGTTCTAGACATTCTTTCATGGACATTAAGCCAAATAGGGAGCCATTCATATTCCCTCCATTCTGTGATGGATCAGTGAAGCAAGCAGCTGATGGCTCTCGGTTAATCTCCGTTAGCGACATCCCAGCTCCGCATGATACTGAACACTCCTCCTATGACTATGAAGCCAGTAGTTTACTAGACATTGATTCGAATGACCCTGGGGAATCTTTTCATGACGATGACGAAGATCATGAAAATGAGGAGTATCATGTCTCGGATCCTCTAGCTGGACTAGTTAATGGAACTGTAGTGAGCCATGGTGAAGCGGAAGGAGATGAGCAACATCTTGAAGTTGGGTCTGAGAATGGCTTTGCGAAAAACTCTAAGGGTATGTCGTCGAGAGATAACAAGTGGATTCAAGTCCGGAAAGGCACCAAGATAATTGTGCAAGTTGTTAAAGAGGGACTCGGTACGAAAGGTCCAACTCTTACTGCTTACCCGAAACTGAGAAGCAGATTCTGGGTATGGCATGTGTGTTTTGTCGTGTAAATCTTTTCCTTTCGTTTCATATGATTCTGTTTTCTGAACAAAAGTATTGTCCTTGTAGGTGTTAATGACTCGTTGCAAACGAATTGGAGTCTCGAAAAAAATCTCGGGTGTGGAGAGGACCCGGTTAAAAGTAATAGCGAAAACATTGCAGCCTCAGGGTTTTGGCCTGACTGTAAGGACTGTAGCTGCTGGCCATTCTCTAGAAGAGCTTCAGAAAGACTTGGAAGGTCTGCTTTTAACCTGGAAGACCATTACGGAAGAAGCAAAATCCGCATCCCTTGCTGCAGATGAAGGTGTGGAAGGAGCCATCCCCGCGCTGCTACATAGAGCAATGGGTCAAACACTCTCAGTTGTGCAAGACTATTTCAATGACAAGGTAGTTAAGCCATTCTCTATATTTCCCTTTAGGTTATAATGGTTGACATGTCAAGTGACAGTACGATCTTGATTTAAATTTAGGTTGAGAAGATGGTGGTTGACTCTCCCAGGACGTACCACGAGGTACATTGCCTCCATTTTGCATAATAAGATATGAATAGTGTGCAGAAGGAGATATTTCCGTGTCGTAAACATTTCTGTATGCAAACTGTTTTACTAATTGGTGTTAGCTTCCAGGTCACAAACTACCTGCAAGATATGGCACCTGATCTTTGTGATCGAGTGGAATTGCATGATAAGGGTATCCCTCTTTTTGATTTGTACAACATTGAGGAGGAGATAGAAGGTATTCTCAGTAAAAGGTAAGAAGTTACTGACACTGTTGTGGAGTTATGGACCTATACCTTTTCCTTCCCAGATATCTTTCACTGTAATGATCTTTTTTGCGTCTTGCAGAGTTCCGCTTCCCAATGGAGGTTCTCTAGTGATTGAACAAACCGAGGCGTTGGTTTCTATTGATGTGAACGGAGGACATGGAATGTTTGGTCAGGGTAACTCACAGGAGAAAGCTATTTTCGAAGTTAACCTTACTGCTGCCAGACAAGTATGTCATACACTTTGGATTTTAGATTACATATTCATTCGCAAAATCTTCTGAAAAGTGCCTCAGTAAATGAGAAAGCCTTGGGAAAATTTAACAGGGAGAAAGAGTAACTAGCTGTATGAAGTCTGCTTATATTGTGTAGTTCTTCGTGAAGTTTGCTCAATTTTTTGCAATGTGCTTATCTTGCAAAGCATTTATTAAGTGATATTCGATGCAATCATGATTCAGATTGCAAGGGAGATTCGGCTAAGAGATATAGGGGGTATCATTGTGGTCGATTTCATCGACATGGAAGATGAGTGTGAGTTATAAAATGTCATTGTTATTTGTTCAAAATCACATTTTTTCCAAAAGTTGTAGAGGAGAAAAATCCTTTATGTCTTGAATGTTCTTGTTCTTTTCTTGTGGTTTCAGCTAATAGAAGACTCGTTTACGAAGAGGTAAAGAAAGCAGTGGAGAAAGATAGGTCACTGGTAAAAGTCTCAGAGCTATCTAGACATGGACTCATGGAAATAACAAGAAAAAGGGTATATAGTCCCAACTTGTGGATGTTTTACTTTTCTGTAAATCTTCGAAACTTATATCTTAGTGAAAGAAATGTGCTCTTGATTTATACTTATCGCAGTGGATTTATCTTTTCCGCAGGTTCGGCCGAGTGTAACATTCATGATCAGTGAACCATGTTCTTGCTGTCACGCAACTGGTAGAGTTGAGGCACTGGAGACTTCCTTTTCAAAAATTGAACAAGAGATTTGTCGACAGCTCGTGAGTGTATTGATAAACACAATATTCTGTTACTAATGAAGAACAACATCTACAATAAACGATTGTAGTTGTTGCCTACAAGACTTGTAGACTATCAATTGATGATGTTTTGGTCCATGTCATGACGATTTTTAAATGTTTCAGGCAAAGATGGAGAATAGAGGACACCTGGAAAACCCCAAGTCTTGGCCAAGATTCATATTGCGTGTGGACAGTCATATGTCAAGCTTCTTGACTACAGGGAAGAGGACGCGGCTCGCAATCCTCAGTAGTTCCCTGAAAGTATGGATTCTCTTAAAGGTAACTCCAAAATCTTTAATGTGATTTGCACTGACGAGGTTTGTATCTGAGTATCAGTTTCTTTCTGACACAACGGAGTCCTAAAATGTCTTTTTTGTAGGTTGCTAGACATTTCACCAGAGGAACCTTTGAGGTTAAACCGTTCATGGATGAGAAGACTGTGAACGAAAGACAGCATCAAGTTGCCATTTCACTGCTCAAGAAAGCTGACGCCATTTCAGACTCCTCAGGCAAGAAGAAGCTCACTCTTATTCCGATTAAGAAGGACAAAACCAGAGGAAAACAAAGACGATGAAACATTTTTCTTAAATTCACGTTCACTTTTGTTTCTTCATTGTACCGAATCGATTTTGTGTATCAATATCATCTTCTTCCCTCAGATTTTTGCATTATAAAGAACTAGAACCAAAGAGCTCTAAAAGTAACAAGATGGAACAACAGTTATGGAAAATACAAAGCTAATCTACAAGGACACAAAACTAGAAACAAGTGGAACAAGATGGTTCAAACAACAAAACAAAGGAGAAAATCTAAGCGAGAGAGAGAGAGAGATCAAGTAGCTGCAACGTTACAAGTCCCAACTCCATCTTTGCAGTCGTTAGTAAGGTCATTGAATGTTTCAATCTGCTTCTTCCCTCTCAAGAACACTTCAGTGTCAACAGACGCTCTCATGTAACCATCAAACTCCACCGGGTTACCTCCGTTAAGCTTCGTAGTCTCCGAATACCACTCGCTGCTCTCGTCCCACAGATCTTTATACTCGTCAAGAACATGAGTAGCGTACTTGTCTTTCAAAGCGTTAAACAACGACGACTCTGCTTCGTTCGTCGCAATGTAGAGATTCCTCCCTTCTTCCACCTTGTCCTGCAACGTCGACAAGAGAGCGCTCGGTGAAGTATCTTTCTCAAGATTAGGCCAAAGCTCCGTGTTTCTCGCCTTCTCTCCTCTCTCAATATGCACTGCATCGTAGTCCCAGTTCAACCTCGACGCAATCGCAGAGACTATCTCCATCAACCTCCTCGATTTCCACAGCAAATGCCAAGGCCTTTTCACCACAGACTCTGCATCTCCTTCGCAGACCCTGTACCAGTAATTATCCGGCTCAACCGACCCGAACTTCCTCATCACCCAACATGGATTAATAGTTCTATACATGACTATGCCAAGAAACATGAGTGAAACGGTCTCAATCCAAGGGAGGAACATCAAATGGACCAGGTTTGGAACCGGAAGAGGTAAGGAGTCTGAAATGTAGCTTTTTCCCTCCAAATGGTGGAAACTTACTTTTAGTGTATATGAGGACCGAGACGGACCCATACTTACCCAAACATGGATTAATAGGTTATATACATGACTATGAGGACAAACATGAGTGAAACGGTCTCAATCCAAGGGAGGAACATCAAATGGACAAATTTGGGAACCGGAAGAGGTAAGGACCGAAATGTAGCTTTGTGCCTCCAAATGGTGGGAACTTACTTTTAGTGTATATGATAAACGAGACGGACCCATACTTACCCAAACATGGATTAATAGGTTCTATACATGACTATGAGGAGAAACATGAGTGAAACGGTCTCAATCCAAGGGAGGAACATCAAATGGACCAAATTTGGGAACCGGAAGAGGTAAGGAGTCCGAAATGTAGCTTTGTGCCTCCAAATGGTGGGAACTTACTTTTAGTGTATATGATGAACGAGACGGACCCATACTTACCCAAACATGGATTAATAGGTTCTATACATGACTATGAGGAGAAACATGAGTGAAACGGTCTCAATCCAAGGGAGGAACATCAAATGGACCAAATTTGGGAACCGGAAGAGGTAAGGAGTCCGAAATGTAGCTTTGTGCCTCCAAATGGTGGGAACTTACTTTTAGTGTATATGATGAACGAGACGGACCCATACTTACCCAAACATGGATTAATAGGTTCTATACATGACTATGAGGAGAAACATGAGTGAAACGGTCTCAATCCAAGGGAGGAACATCAAATGGACCAAATTTGGGAACCGGAAGAGGTAAGGAGTCCGAAATGTAGCTTTGTGCCTCCAAATGGTGGGAACTTACTTTTAGTGTATATGATGAACGAGACGGACCCATACTTACCCAAACATGGATTAATAGGTTCTATACATGACTATGAGGAGAAACATGAGTGAAACGGTCTCAATCCAAGGGAGGAACATCAAATGGACCAAATTTGGGAACCGGAAGAGGTAAGGAGTCCGAAATGTAGCTTTGTGCCTCCAAATGGTGGGAACTTACTTTTAGTGTATATGGAACGAGACGGACCCATACTTACCCAAACATGGATTAATAGGTTCTATACATGACTATGAGGAGAAACATGAGTGAAACGGTCTCAATCCAAGGGAGGAACATCAAATGGACCAAATTTGGGAACCGGAAGAGGTAAGGAGTCCGAAATGTAGCTTTGTGCCTCCAAATGGTGGGAACTTACTTTTAGTGTATATGATGAACGAGACGGACCCATACTTACCCAAACATGGATTAATAGGTTCTATACATGACTATGAGGAGAAACATGAGTGAAACGGTCTCAATCCAAGGGAGGAACATCAAATGGACCAAATTTGGGAACCGGAAGAGGTAAGGAGTCCGAAATGTAGCTTTGTGCCTCCAAATGGTGGGAACTTACTTTTAGTGTATATGATGAACGAGACGGACCCATACTTACCCAAACATGGATTAATAGGTTCTATACATGACTATGAGGAGAAACATGAGTGAAACGGTCTCAATCCAAGGGAGGAACATCAAATGGACCAAATTTGGGAACCGGAAGAGGTAAGGAGTCCGAAATGTAGCTTTGCGCCTCCAAATGGTGGGAACTTACTTTTAGTGTATATGATGAACGAGACGGACCCATACTTACCCAAACATGGATTAATAGGTTCTATACATGACTATGAGGAGAAACATGAGTGAAACGGTCTCAATCCAAGGGAGGAACATCAAATGGACCAAATTTGGGAACCGGAAGAGGTAAGGAGTCCGAAATGTAGCTTTGGCCTCCAAATGGTGGGAACTTACTTTTAGTGTATATGATGAACGAGACGGACCCATACTTACCCAAACATGGATTAATAGGTTCTATACATGACTATGAGGAGAAACATGAGTGAAACGGTCTCAATCCAAGGGAGGAACATCAAATGGACCAAATTTGGGAACCGGAAGAGGTAAGGAGTCCGAAATGTAGCTTTGTGCCTCCAAATGGTGGGAACTTACTTTTAGTGTATATGATGAACGAGACGGACCCATACTTACCCAAACATGGATTAATAGGTTCTATACATGACTATGAGGAGAAACATGAGTGAAACGGTCTCAATCCAAGGGAGGAACATCAAATGGACCAAATTTGGGAACCGGAAGAGGTAAGGAGTCCGAAATGTAGCTTTGTGCCTCCAAATGGTGGGAACTTACTTTTAGTGTATATGATGAACGAGACGGACCCATACTTACCCAAACATGGATTAATAGGTTCTATACATGACTATGAGGAGAAACATGAGTGAAACGGTCTCAATCCAAGGGAGGAACATCAAATGGACCAAATTTGGGAACCGGAAGAGGTAAGGAGTCCGAAATGTAGCTTTGTGCCTCCAAATGGTGGGAACTTACTTTTAGTGTATATGATGAACGAGACGGACCCATACTTACCCAAACATGGATTAATAGGTTCTATACATGACTATGAGGAGAAACATGAGTGAAACGGTCTCAATCCAAGGGAGGAACATCAAATGGACCAAATTTGGGAACCGGAAGAGGTAAGGAGTCCGAAATGTAGCTTTGTGCCTCCAAATGGTGGGAACTTACTTTTAGTGTATATGATGAACGAGACGGACCCATACTTACCCAAACATGGATTAATAGGTTCTATACATGACTATGAGGAGAAACATGAGTGAAACGGTCTCAATCCAAGGGAGGAACATCAAATGGACCAAATTTGGGAACCGGAAGAGGTAAGGAGTCCGAAATGTAGCTTTGTGCCTCCAAATGGTGGGAACTTACTTTTAGTGTATATGATGAACGAGACGGACCCATACTTACCCAAACATGGATTAATAGGTTCTATACATGACTATGAGGAGAAACATGAGTGAAACGGTCTCAATCCAAGGGAGGAACATCAAATGGACCAAATTTGGGAACCGGAAGAGGTAAGGAGTCCGAAATGTAGCTTTGTGCCTCCAAATGGTGGGAACTTACTTTTAGTGTATATGATGAACGAGACGGACCCATACTTACCCAAACATGGATTAATAGGTTCTATACATGACTATGAGGAGAAACATGAGTGAAACGGTCTCAATCCAAGGGAGGAACATCAAATGGACCAAATTTGGGAACCGGAAGAGGTAAGGAGTCCGAAATGTAGCTTTGTGCCTCCAAATGGTGGGAACTTACTTTTAGTGTATATGATGAACGAGACGGACCCATACTTACCCAAACATGGATTAATAGGTTCTATACATGACTATGAGGAGAAACATGAGTGAAACGGTCTCAATCCAAGGGAGGAACATCAAATGGACCAAATTTGGGAACCGGAAGAGGTAAGGAGTCCGAAATGTAGCTTTGTGCCTCCAAATGGTGGGAACTTACTTTTAGTGTATATGATGAACGAGACGGACCCATACTTACCCAAACATGGATTAATAGGTTCTATACATGACTATGAGGAGAAACATGAGTGAAACGGTCTCAATCCAAGGGAGGAACATCAAATGGACCAAATTTGGGAACCGGAAGAGGTAAGGAGTCCGAAATGTAGCTTTGTGCCTCCAAATGGTGGGAACTTACTTTTAGTGTATATGATGAACGAGACGGACCCATACTTACCCAAACATGGATTAATAGGTTCTATACATGACTATGAGGAGAAACATGAGTGAAACGGTCTCAATCCAAGGGAGGAACATCAAATGGACCAAATTTGGGAACCGGAAGAGGTAAGGAGTCCGAAATGTAGCTTTGTGCCTCCAAATGGTGGGAACTTACTTTTAGTGTATATGATGAACGAGACGGACCCATACTTACCCAAACATGGATTAATAGGTTCTATACATGACTATGAGGAGAAACATGAGTGAAACGGTCTCAATCCAAGGGAGGAACATCAAATGGACCAAATTTGGGAACCGGAAGAGGTAAGGAGTCCGAAATGTAGCTTTGTGCCTCCAAATGGTGGGAACTTACTTTTAGTGTATATGATGAACGAGACGGACCCATACTTACCCAAACATGGATTAATAGGTTCTATACATGACTATGAGGAGAAACATGAGTGAAACGGTCTCAATCCAAGGGAGGAACATCAAATGGACCAAATTTGGGAACCGGAAGAGGTAAGGAGTCCGAAATGTAGCTTTGTGCCTCCAAATGGTGGGAACTTACTTTTAGTGTATATGATGAACGAGACGGACCCATACTTACCCAAACATGGATTAATAGGTTCTATACATGACTATGAAGAAACATGAGTGAAACGGTCTCAATCCAAGGGAGGAACATCAAATGGACCAAATTTGGGAACCGGAAGAGGTAAGGAGTCCGAAATGTAGCTTTGTGCCTCCAAATGGTGGGAACTTACTTTTAGTGTATATGATGAACGAGACGGACCCATACTTACCCAAACATGGATTAATAGGTTCTATACATGACTATGAGGAGAAACATGAGTGAAACGGTCTCAATCCAAGGGAGGAACATCAAATGGACCAAATTTGGGAACCGGAAGAGGTAAGGAGTCCGAAATGTAGCTTTGTGCCTCCAAATGGTGGGAACTTACTTTTAGTGTATATGATGAACGAGACGGACCCATACTTACCCAAACATGGATTAATAGGTTCTATACATGACTATGAGGAGAAACATGAGTGAAACGGTCTCAATCCAAGGGAGGAACATCAAATGGACCAAATTTGGGAACCGGAAGAGGTAAGGAGTCCGAAATGTAGCTTTGTGCCTCCAAATGGTGGGAACTTACTTTTAGTGTATATGATGAACGAGACGGACCCATACTTACCCAAACATGGATTAATAGGTTCTATACATGACTATGAGGAGAAACATGAGTGAAACGGTCTCAATCCAAGGGAGGAACATCAAATGGACCAAATTTGGGAACCGGAAGAGGTAAGGAGTCCGAAATGTAGCTTTGTGCCTCCAAATGGTGGGAACTTACTTTTAGTGTATATGATGAACGAGACGGACCCATACTTACCCAAACATGGATTAATAGGTTCTATACATGACTATGAGGAGAAACATGAGTG